TTGTAAACAGTCTCCTTTCGTCTGCACACATTCACTCAACCAGGGTGTTGGGCAGCTGTTTATGGAATGTGGACCCTCTTACCCAAGCACAGAAATGTTCCCATTTTGGGTCTATCGATCCCAACCTGACGGCCACTAGGAAAGTTCTGGGAACTGTATTCTTTATAAAGTAATCGTTTCAAGCCCTCGGTTCTATTGAGAACGTAGGCAGCTCTAAACCATGCAGGGTTCTTCCCCCACTCAGGGCTGGCCCTATCGTTAGACAAAGGTGGCTGATCATTTCTTCTACAAACAGCACACAGTCAAAATGTGGAACTCACAGCCACTAGAAATCAGCATATCTTTTAGCAGAGTCAGCTTTTAAAGACAAAACAGTGGCCCTGCGTCCCCCAGGGGCCGCACCACAAGAGCTAAATGCAATCCTAAGGTGAGGCCCTAACATGCACCCCTCCTGATGTGTTGGGACTACAACGCCCATCCTCCCACCCAAAAGAAATCTAGTTGGCCACCAAGGACATGGAGAAGGTTGTTATATGATTCCGCCCGGGCTTGATCCAGCTGAGCGCTTCCTAGTAAGTAAACAAAGGGCTGTTTATGCAACAAATAGATAGATAGATAGATAGATAGATAGATAGATAGATAGATAGATAGATAGATAGATAGATAGATAGATAGATAGATAGATAGATAGATAGATAGATAGATAGATAGATAGATAGATAGCATCACCGTGGGGAGGGGGCGATGATAACTTCCTCAATGGCTCAAGGGGGCGTTTCTTTCAAAAGGGTTAAGAACCACTGTGCTATACCACATGGATATTTTTGTAACCTCTTTAAATGCACAGAGCAAAGATACCCAATGAGCTATAGTAGACAGAGCATATATATTTAATAGGAAAGGCAGCGTCTGTAAAAGCAAGTATTTTGCTACCCAGTCTAAAGACTTATTTTATGAAATGGAGAGAAATAGTGTTTAAATAATTCATTTATTTACCTTCACAGTCAAGCTGAATACGGCTGTTGCTAGAAGAACCAAGAAATCTGTCTGTAACTTTCCTCAGACTGAGAAATGTTGACAGATTTTATTTTCCCCAGCAGCTATGGCAGAACAATCCTTTGGAAAAACAACAGCAGAGAAACAAACAAATCTCTCCTCTGCAATTCCCTGCTTATGGATGGTTTCACTTGAGACTATTCTTGGTCAGTTATGGCCTCTGGTGGGGAGGCTGGAAGAGCAAGGGTTTCTGCTTTCTAAAGGGGCAAAAATGAGACTGAGGGAACTCTTTAACTCTCTGTGGGCTTGAATTCAAGCAGAAGGACCTTAACAGAGCTTGCAAGGGACAATTTTACCTGTAATGTATTGGTTTTGTTTTAATTTTTTGCAACAGCAAGGATATCGCAATGTTGGATTTTTGTCTAATAAGTACTATTTAGCCGAAACACGACTCCTTGCTTTCCTCCTCTTTTTAGAGTCAAATAATGCTTTGGACCAGAGGGATGTTTTGAGGGATGTTCTTTAACATTTTGGCCATTTTCTTGTTTCTTAATTGCCTTTTTTAAAAAGAAAGAAAAGAAACTAAATAATTAATGAGCTACATACTGAACAATGGATTATGAGTATCATTGTGTTATGAGCAACATAGGAATGAGAGATGTCATGACATTGTAACAGCAACAGTCATGATTTTCCAAAGTAACTTGCTAAGTTTTGCACCCAGTAAAATGTGACTGACACCAGAAGAGTGAAAGGCATCTCTGTACGTTTTCTTACTCTTTATTACAGATACTTTATTAACATATGGCTTATCTTTTCCTGTTCTTTACTTTCAGGTCAGAAACTGTGAGAGTAATATGTGATTCAATAAAGGAAACCACAGCATTCAGTTTTCAAGAGCTGAGTAAGGCTGTTAATAGCAAGATGTTTAGGAGGTCACTCATTCATAATATCCCCATAAATCCGAGTTGGCTTGATAGCATATAGGAACAACCATGTCTGATTACTGTGACTGAAACTCTTTGCATTCCTTTAAACTGTGGTCTTGTGGCAGAGAATTCTAAGTACCTGGCCCCGAGGACAAATCCTAGGAATCATTAGAATGAAGCCATAATGGTTCATATGGTATCAGACTGATATAATTGTGTAGTGGAGATACACCTGTATACTTGCTGAAGCTTTTTAAAAAGTTATGCATGAAGTCTAAAAAGAAAAATGCTCCAATCAAAGTTTTGTCAGTCCCAATTAATAACTTCAAGCAAATATATTTCAGCTGGGTTTTGCATATACGCTCTGATGCCCTCAGCTAGTTTTTGCTGGCAAAGGAAACCCATGTCAGTATAATGAATAGAAATTTCAGAGGCTCTGATGTTACTGCAGAGTAATGAAGGGGAACAAAGGTATCTAAGGATGGGTTTTGCTGATGTCACCATTCAGCTGGAGTCAGCTCATCCTTCATCCACTGAACACTGAGAAAATGAGCCTCTGGTTTTAGATATAGTCACATGACATCTGGAACCCAAATAATAATCTCAAGTCAGAAATACTTGCGTCAAGATGGATTGTGAAAGGCTCAGAACACAAATGCTTCTTCACATAGTACATAGCTCAGCTATGAAATGCACTTCCATGAAATGTGGTGGCGAACAGCTTTAAAAGAGGTCTAGACAAATTTGTGGAAAATAAATCTATTGTTAGCCACCTGACTATAATGGCTCTGTACACCCTTCTGAGTAACAAGTCACAGGGAAGCCACAGCTACAGCACAGGTCTATTGATTTTATTTATTT